TGTAATGGGTTTATTAAGATAGCTTTCTTAGCCATTGGCTTTGACTATCACCACATGGCTGGTCAGGAACATGAAAATAGGGTGTATATAAATGACGTGTGATGTGACTGGTCAGTTTTCCCATCTCAGCAGGTTTAAATAGAGGTTTAGCAGCAAAGTAAGACTCTTACTCCCAGCAGGGAATAAAAAGCAGAGAATGTAGCACATGTCCTTTGGGGCCTGAGTTTCCAGCCCCGGGCAAACTAGGACTTGTATGAGGTCAGCAGAAGCCTCAGTGAAGAACCAGAGAGCAACATGAGACTGAGCTGGCTTGGGACTGCTATGCCATGGAGCAGAGGCGTGGGGCCTTTGCCCAAGTCTGCTGGAGCACCGGGAGGAGATGCCATTATTGGCAGTACTAAGAGAGCTAGCAACACTGACCTAAATTGAGAGGCTGGAGGTCAAAAGGCCTGCAAGCACACCAGGAAAGCTATCCTGAATGAGGAATTGTATCCTGCTGCCCACCTAAATTATAACCTGTTCATTTCTCTAGTAAACTCATAATCTTGAGTATCTGTGTGGCCATTGCAATGGAATTTGAATAGTAGAACAGTATGATTGGTGTTGAAATTATGCTACCAAGTCAAAGGTGGGTGATTTTAATCTGTAGCCCTCAGGCCAGGTTTTAATTGTTTTTGGTCAAACATTCTTCTAGGTCCTGTAACCCTGGTATGTCCACTTGCCATACAGAGGTAACTCGTGGTTGCTGTGATGCTAAACACTGTGACGCTGATATGTCAAATGTGATAATGGTTCCCCATGGTGGACCATGTTTGCTGGAGCTCCCCGATTAAAACAAGCTTGGAAGCAGGAGCAGCATCCACTTCCAAAATAGCTTGCCTCTGGAAACCCTATGAACTTGGAGAAACGATGGAAGTTATACAAGTGTTCAGATCTTTCATTCATAGGGTTGCAATGAGTCATCCACGACTCGACAGCACCTAAGAACAACAACTACAACAGGCGCAGGAGCAGGGAGCCCGAGTCATCTAGTGGTAAGAAGCTGAGCTACAATCCCCAAATTTATTGCTGTTATATACTTGTTGAGTACTCAGTTCAAATCTGCCAGCTGCTCCACAGGGGAAGGCTGGGCAATCTCCTTCTGTGCCATTTACTGCCTCTGAAAACCCACTAGAGGGTCAGCTGTGGGCCCATTCCATTTTGATGGAGCACAACAACAACAGCTGGAGGAGTGTGGAGATTATGCCTGAACACATGGGAATCGATTTTGTATTGTGGATGTTATGGATGGGGACCGTTTCCTTTTGTGAAACAGAAGTCAGATTGGGGCTAGTCCTTGGAGAGGGAGCTCTGGTGGGTTAGTGGCAAGAATCTGGGCTGCAATCCCGAAGGCACGGGGTTTGAGGTCACCAGCTGCTCTGCGGGAGAGGCATGGGTAATCTTCTCCTGTGCAAAGCCGCCAGAGGGTCAGCTATGGGTTGGTTCTGACTCAACGGTACACAACGACAACAACAAGTCCTTGGAGAAGGACATCATGCTTGATAAAGTGAGGGCCCACAAAGGAGATGGTTCTAGATGAGATGGACTGACCCAGTGACAACAGCAATGGGTTTAAACACAGCGGAGATTGTGAGGACAGCACAGGCTGGGGTGGGTTTCAATCTACTGTACATAGGGGTGCTATGAATCAGAGTCAGCCTGGTGGCATCTAAGAACAACAACCACAAACTTCCCATTGAATGGATAGACCATACTTTATTTATTCGTGCGTTGATGGCACCTGGTTTCTTTCTACCTTTTGACCAGCATGCTTTTGGTGGACTCTGGTGTATGAGGATTTTCCTGTATTGCTTCCTTCCATTGTTCTAGCACAGGCCCAGGAGCGGAATTGCTGAGTCACATTGTCATTCACATGCATTTTTCCCCCTCTCAGATGCCTGACCACACCTAATCCCAGGTTATTGTTGTTAAGTGCCATGAGTCATAGGCAACTCCTAGCGACCCTATAAACAAAAGATCTCGGGTTTCTGGAGGCAAGCTATTTCGGAAGTGGATGCCACTCCTGCACCCAAGCTTGTTTTAATCCCAGGTAGGAAATGTTATACCCATTTGTTGCCAAAGGAAAATCAAGGGTTCCAAAGGTTAAAGGCTTAACTAAAGCCATATCGTAATTACGTGAATGAGGCTGGTCTAAGAACCAGATCTCCTGTGATAAAGCCAAATGCCTGAGATGAGAATGGGCAAGCATTCTGACGTGGGATTGCTGGGTTATGACAGTTCTGAGACTTGTGCTTAACTGCTTTTCCCATTGTCAGAGGAGCTATTTCGTTAGCTCAGGCCTTTTGGTCCCCTGACTCTTAGCAGCACTGCCCAGGGTTGCAGGTACAGCTAAAACAGGATCTCAACAGCACATCTGGGAAGCTGTATAATTACCACTGACAAGCGCTGGAAGAGACCAGTGCAGCCTGGCCGTACAGCAGAAATAGAGTGACCCAAGCAAAGTCTGTGCTCCCATATGCATGCCAGAGGCCACTATTAATGACCATGGGTGACCTGTGACTGTGATCTGCAGTGCCACCTCTCATCACTTGCTGGAAGATCCTAGGAGAAATACTCTAGCTTCTGCCACCCAGGGCTAGGTCTTCGAGGTGAGCAGGTGAGACGCTTTGAGGAGGTAGCAATGGCTGTGAGCCCACAAGTGCCAGAAGCAGGTGCCTGAAACCTCATTTCCTGAGCATCAGCTCTGAGGGTCATTTGCATTAGGAGCTGCTCAGCTCCAGAACCCTCTAATCTGTCTGTGGATGTCTCTATCTGAGTGATCCCCAGCTACTTCATGGTGGACGCGTTTTGTCTCTGAGCATCTCTTTCAACAACACTAACAAAGTTGAGTAGTAACAAAGCTTAGCTCTTGGATCTCAGAGAATGAAAAGACTGAATGCCAAGCCAAGGCTTACAATGGAGCCTGATATATAGCCCTCAAATGTGCTGTTGTCAGGGAGCTCTGGGAGCCTAGAAGCTGGGCTGCAATCCCAAAGGCTAAGGTTGGAATCCGCCAGATGCTCTGCTGGAGAAGGAGGGGCTATCTCCTCTTGTGCCAATCAAAACTGATCCGACCATACACAGCAAGCAGGAAAAAAAATGCTGTTGCTAGTGACTCTATGAACAACAAAACAAAACTCTGCCCTGTCCTGTGTCACCCTCACAACCTCTGTTGTACGTAAGCCCACTGCTGCAGTTACTATGTCAATCCATCTCCTTGAGGGTCTTCCCCTCTTTCAATGAACTTTCTCAGCATGATGTCCTTCTTCAAGGGCTGGCCTCTTCTGACAAAGATGTGAGGCAAAGTCGTAACTTCCTTGCCTCCAAAGAGGATCCTGGTTCTAATTCCTCCAAGACAGATATATTTGATCTTTTGAAAGTCCATGGTATGTATTCAATTTTCTTTGCCAATACCACAATCCAAAGGCATTGATTCTTCTTCTGGCTTTCTTATTCATTGTCTAATTTTTGCACGCCTATGCATAGGACAGGGTTCAGATCTTTTCATCATAGGGTCACTATGAGTCATACTCGACTCAATGGCACCTAATAATGACAACATGGAAAATGGCTTGGGGCAGGCACACCTTAGTCTTTAAGGTGGCATCCTCACTTGTTAGCACTTTAAGGAAGCCCTTTAACAAAAATGTTAGTTATATATTTTTTTCCATGGAAATAAAAAACAAACAACCCAAAACAAAACCAAAACCCAAACTCCTTTGTCTCCCTCATGTGTCCCCAAGGTTCTTCTCTGACCCTCCTTCCCTCTCAAGTACCTCTGTCCATCAGATCTGGGATGGGAGCATAGTGGGATAAAAGCCGGCTCTACTACACTGGTCCTCGGCTGACTCATCTAAAATTGGGGATAATGCCAGCACCTCCCATGTGAAGTAAAGAGGAATCAACAGCAACCACTAAAATATATGCTGCGTGTCTTTGGGGGTCGGGCACTGTGCTGGGGGACACCAGTAAACAAGGCAGATAGACGAAAGGTTTAGTTTATACCTGCCACATTACAAACATGCTATGTGCTGCAAATGAAATACACGTGTTAGGTTTTTACATGAAATATACACATATATTTGTATACAATGCCCTTTGCTATTACTTCTACGTTCATCTCATTTATTCCTACACAACAGTCCTCGCGGGACAGAGATTTTATCCCTTTTCACGATAAAACAGAGGCGCTGGGAAATTAAAAGGTTAAGCTGGCGATCATCGGCTGCTTGTCTGCATTTTAAAGAGAAAACCAGCGGAGGTCAGTGTGCCACCTCGAATCTCCCTGAAGAGCCCGTCCAAGCTCTGTGGTCTTGGAGTGGGAGGCTGGTTTCTGGGTAAAGGACGAGGGCAGGGCACCCGACACACCCGCGCAGCGGGCCGGCAGGCAGGCGGACACGCCCCGGGGCGCACGCTCGCTGGCGCGGAGCTCCTAGTGGGCAAAGACGCGCACAGCGCCGGGATCGACGCTGGGTGGCGCTGCTGGGCCGCCCCGCGTCTGACCTGTTGCGCCCTGGGCGCAACTCTGCAGGTTAAGGATAAAGGGGTGCTCGATTTTCTCCGCCCGCCCTCAGCTACCCGGCCGCCTCACCTACCTGGGCGCACACTATGCCTGCCTTAACCCGGGGCTCCTGTGTTTCTCAGCGCAACAGCTCCAGGCGCGTCGGGTGGGTGGGCAAGGAGAAAGTTTTTCCGACCACGTCTGGGAAAAGGGCTGAATGTAGGTGATCCCCCTAGCTCAAGACTCTATTCCCGTTACGACTGAACACCCCAGACTACGTGGCCGCCCGGGGGCTCCACTCCAGGGAGGCGCCAGCCCCCTGGCCGGTGAGATGGGCTGACCCGCGCACCGCCCACTCCCACCCCTTCCCTCCCCCGCTCCGCGCGCCGGGGCCCCAGCGTCTCCAGCCCCGCCTGCGCCGGGGTCGCCGCTCAGTCCCCGCGGCCGCCGGGGCTCCCTCCCCAGGCGCCCCACCTTGTTCCAGCCTGGGGAGCGCCTCGGGGGCAGCGCGGGACAGTCAGGGAGGCCGAGGCAGGGGCCCTGGGCGTCCGAGCTCCCCAAACCTGGGAGGCGGCCCTGAGTCCCGGAGTCTGAACGCTGGGAAAAGCAAGGACGGGGCGGCCGGCGGAGGGGCGGGAGCTGCTCATCAGTCACGCCAGTCACGTCTGGGGCCACCCGGCAGCCTATTTCTCCCTTTCCCCTTTTGCTTTCATCCCCCTCTCCTGTTGGTGAGGGCAAAGTGGCCGTGGAGGCGCCATGCCCGGGCCGGAGTGAGTGCGCGCGGGCGAAAATGGCGTACATCCAGGTAGGGCTGAGGTTGGGGGGCAAAGTCCGGGCTTTGGGTGGGGGGTACTGCGGCCCTTCCGACTGTGAGCGCGCGGAAGGGAGGACACACGACTAGGTTCCCACGAACTTGCCTCGAGATGAAACGGTGCCCGGGCGCAGGCGACCTGTGCAGTGGCTGAGGTGCGCCCTGGGAGGAAAGGCTGGGGGACCCCCAGACCCCAGATTAGAGGGCCGCATTCAGACTCTGCACGCTCACCCTCGCCACCTGGGCAGGAGATGGGGGATGGGACGGACTTCTTCCCCTCTCATCCTCATTTCTCCCTGCACCCCACCCCAGGGGAGGGGCCGCGGGGAGGGCGGCCCGGGGCGCGCCAGCCGCCCGGCCCGCCAGCTGCCGTTGCCTTGGTGACGGTGACGGCTAATTGGCCGGCCGAGCGAGCCTGAGGCAGCTGTTCTGGCCAGGAGGGACAAGGACGTCGTCTGGGCCAGCACAGGGTGCTGAAGGGTGGGGGCCCGCGGAGGCCAGAGGCGCGCCAGTGGGAGGGGCGGCTGCCAGTTACTTGAGTCCGTGGCGCTGGCGTGTGAGAGTTGGGGACCCCTATCTCTTTGGGGAACCTCTCCTAAGAATTCTTGGGCTAAATTAATTACCAAGCCGCTTTTGAGTGGGGGAGTGGGAGGCATTTCTAAGAGGCCTTTTTCTTCCATCCATGGGGAAGAAGTGGCCACAGGTCAGAGCCAAGGTCACTCAGTCTGACAGTTGAGCTGCCTGCTTCTGGGATTGGCTCCTCCCAGCCAGGCTCCCGGGAGACACAGGGAGACACATCTGGGCTCATTTTGCCCTTTGGTCACGGTTTGGGGTTCCCCTCAGACTCTCATCACATCCCGAGTTTTCCGCCTGCTGGGTACTGGTGTTCTGTTACCTGGCGGAACCTTTCACGCCCTCTCCTTGTAAAGGTTCGCTTATTAGGCTTCTGAGCAGAAAGTCCTGGGTCTCTTTCCATTTAGGGAATTTGTAGATCTTCTTCAAGTCCAGTTAAGGTCACATTTCCTGCATACCTACTGTGTGCTCTGTATAATTGCTGAAAGAGTTAGTGGCCACTCAGCTAACACATGAGTGAGCCCCAATCATGTCTGAGTATCAGCAAGAAGACCAGCCCACCCACAACGACCTTCCATCATTGGGTTGGGAGGCTGTACATCATGTTAGGAGTAGGCTGCCTCCTCTACCCTTAAGAGCAGCTAAGGGTTTTCAGCTGCCAAGGTTTTCCTTAGCAGCCCTACAGTAAACGACAGATATCTATCACGAGTTCCTTACTACTGGGCCTACAAGGAGGAAGACGACTGGCCTGTCCACCAGAATGTAGTCTCCCAAGAAAGGACCATGGTAACTTAACAGACTCCTGTTGTTCTTAATGACTGCATTCCGCACAGAGAGGTTAAGCAACTTGCGGAAGGTCACACAGCTTCTGAGGAGTGGAGGTGGGTCTGAAAAGTGCCGATGAGGGGAATAGGTGGTCATTAGTGGGGGTTATGTTAAGGAGCCCTGTGGGCACAGTGGCCAGGTGCTGAGCTGGGAGCTCAACCAGCCAGATGCACCCCTAGAGAATAGACCTGGTGGTCAGATCCAGAAGAGACTCCAGCCTAGGAAACCCAGTGGGGGCAATGCTACTCTGCATATAAAGACCCCTAGAGTCATAACTGGGAACTCTGGTGGAATGGTCCATAGCATGTTAAGCTGTTAACGCCAAGGGTACTGTCTCAGTAGTAGCTCAGAGGGAGAAATAGGTGCAGTCTTCTGTTTGGATTTACAGCTTCAGAAATGGATGGAAGGCTGCTCTGAGTCAGAACTCAGTGAGTGAGAGAATTCACTTGATGCTGCCCAACAAGTTGAGCATCGGGGTACAAGGATGGCCCATCGATGATGCGTTTCCTTTTAGAACAAGGAGACAGGTATTTTATTGCGGAGGATCAGACTGCAGCTATTTGTATTCTACAGTCCTGAGGTCTCTGAGGTAAAGGCCGAGCTGCCATTGTTAACACAAGAGCCACCATAGACGACACACAAATGGGCCTTGGCTGTTCCAATAAAACTTTATGGACACCAAAATTTTATTCTTTCAATCAGTTGTTCAAACTTTTTTTTTTGTTTTAAATCAATCTTAGGTAATGCATGATACAAAATAAGCTGTGATCACATTAGGCTGGTGGGCTGTAGTTTGCCAGGCCCACTTCTAGAATATCTGCTCTCTCCTCCTTCTGTTTTTCTGCTTTGATTCCTCTCCCTTCTAGCATGTGTATGTGTGTGAACCCTCTGGGCTGGGAAGACCCAGCACGTTTGGGAGTAGCAGAGTATTCTTTTTGTTTTCTCTGTTGTCCTGGTTTGGTTTAGCTTCCAGATTTCTCTCCTGTACCTGGCCTGGGGGAGCTATGCGTGAGGTTCTCTCTTCATTGTATAAACAGTTCTCTGGTCACCATAGACCTCTGCACTGAACTGAATCCGTTCCTATCAAGTCCATGCCAGCTCTTGTGTAACGGAGAACTGCCCCCTAGGACAGTTTGCTTGGCTGTGATCTTAACAGAAGCAGACTGCCAGGCCTTTCTTACAATCTACTGCTGGGTAGCTTTGAACTGCCAACCTTTCAGTTAGCTGTCAAGGGCAAACTGAGAGAAATGGGAATGACTTGTTGAACAAAGAGCATCCCTTCTCCTGAACATTTTAAAGCACTGTCTCCTGAGAGCCCCACGAGGACCTGGCTTTTTGCTACAGTTTTGAGTGCTGTGTCCGCCAGGTCAGTACCTGGTGCCTGTTGTTGTTAGGTGTTGTTGCTGTGGAATCGACTCTTAGGTCTGAAGACCCTCTGAACAGTGTCCCGAAACCTTGCTGTATTCTGCACCACCCTCACAGTCTCTGCCAGTTGTTGCAGTCATCATGCCAAACCTCTCTTCCACTGATCCTCTCCATGTCCAAGCATGATGTCCTTCTCCAGGGACTGACCCATCCTGATAACATGTCCACAGTCTGTGCGATGGAGTCTTGTCACCCTCGCTTCCAAGGAGCGCTCCAGTAGGTTCCAGCTAGTCTTGACAACTGTGTTCTCCTTCGGCATAGGAAGGGTGCAGGGTTTTTTTTCCCCCAGCTGGGCACACACATGAATTTCTATAGTGCCCTGCTTCATCTTTCATTATCCCTTTGAGAAAGGAAGTATCTTTCCACTAAGGAAAAGGGGTAAACTGAGGCTCAGTGGCCTCTTGCCTTGCTTGTACCACAGGATGGATCGGCGGTGGGGCAAGACTCTGCCTTTTTGGTCACTGTCTTTCGGTGACCCCACAGCCCGAGCAGGTCAGGGCGAGGTTTGATTTTTGTGTGAGGAATTTGTGATTTGTGCCTGAAACGTTTTCTGTTCTAAACTGCAGTTGTTTCCTCACCACTTTAAGGTTTTTGAATCTTCCTAAGTCACAGCGACTTGTATTATTATTTGAGTTTTTTCTTTAATCACCTTTCTACTTTAAAATAGGGAATTAATTTGTATTGCCCTCCCATGATGTAAAAGGAAACTCTGGTGGTGGAGTCCACAGAGGGTTGCTCTGCTCTCACAAAAGTGTTGCCTTTCTGGTGGTTTGAATCCACCAGAGGGAAAAAGATGGGCCATTTAGAGCATCTGAAAACTCACTGGAGGGTCAGCTCTGAGCTGGTTCTGATTCATTTGCAGTGAGTTGAGATACCAGGTGATAGAAATAGAAGGCAATTGAGGAAATAAAATGAGAATGAAAAAATACCAGCTGTCATCAAGTGATTCTGACTCATGGTGACCCTGTGCTCAGCAGAGTCGAACTGTGTCCTGTTGGGTTTTCTGTGGTTTATTTTTCCAGAAGCAAATTACCCACTCACTCTTTTTTTCTGAGTGGACTTGAACTTCCAACCTTTTCGCTAGCTGCCAGTTATTTTAACCTTCCCCACCACCCAGAGACTTTGCCATGAGAATGTTGTTGTGTATGGTCAAGTGGTAACTGACTTATAACTGACCCTCCAGCGGGTTTTCAGAGGCAGTAAATCACACAGGAGGAGGTTGCCTGCTTTTTTCCTGCAGGGCATTGGAGCATCAGGTGGATTCAAACTGCAGGCCTTTGGGTTGGCAATGCTGTTCCTTACCACTAGGCCACCAGAGCTCCATTACAATGAGAATGATTCAATAAGAATTGACTGCAACTGTTTTTAAAGATAGGAGCTGGTGTCTGCATCCCATTTAAAAAAAGGGTAGGGAGATCTGGTGGCCCAGTGGTAAGACACTGTGCTGCAATCCTGAAGGTACATGGTTCGAGGCCACCAGCTGTTCCATGGGAGAAGGCAGTCTCCTCCCTTGCGATTAATTGCCTTTGAAAACCTGCCTGGAAGGGTGATCTGTGGGTCAGTTCTGACTCTAAAGTATACCATGCATTGAGAAAGATGTTAAAATACTCTTCTCCTCATTTGAGACTTTCTCCTTTGTGCAAGAGAATTGAGACGAGAGTAACTTTCTTGCTCTGGATTCAGAGTTACCGCTGTGTTGCATTTGGATTCCATGACACTTCATCTCTTAAGACACAGTGGAGCGTGGTGGAGGTGGGATGCCCGAGGCCTCTTGACCTGGCATATGTGACCCAGATGTGAGGTGCCTTTCCTGAAAGAGGAAGAGCGACCGACCGATGTGATGGGGCTGGGAGTAGGGGCTGATTCGAAAGAGGGGAGGGGCCCCTTGGTCCGCAGGAGGACAGAAGGATGGCTTCCTTTTCGGATCCCTCTGTTGGTGGGTGGTCAGCTGTGGCTCCCCATTGGAGCAGAATTGGGGAGGTCGGGCCGCCGGGAGGGCGGGGGAGCTGAGCACCACCCACTCTGTGCTGCCTGCATGCGAGCTAATCGTGTCCTTTTGGGGTGGCTTGGCGGCTATTTCTGTAGAAGAAGGTTTGCTCTTCTCCTGAAGTGTGGCTGCATTGGATAGCATGACTATCTATCCGCCTGCTCTGATTCATAACAGCAGACGGTGCAAATCACATCACAATGCTAAAGTTTCCCATGTATTCGCTGGTGGTTGGCCAGGAGGCGACCAGCAGCCCTGAAAATACCTTGTTAGCAAGGCAGCCCCCTGCCCAGCATGGTAAGTGGCGAGGTGCAGAAATTGTGTGGGGTTTTTGTGTCTTTGGCTTGCCCCCCCCCCTTGTTTTTTGTTGTTTTTGTTTTGTCTGAGTTGCTGGAATATTGCTAAACTGGTCTTGTCTCTCTCTTTGTAACCCCCTCGCCCTCAACACTCCTTGGCTTCCTCATGGATCTCAAAAAGGGCAGTTGGAACCTTTAAATGAGGTGGGTGAGTCTGGCCCTGGGTTTGGTGTCTGTCCCTTAGAGCTGGGCTGGGACTGTGGGGATGTGAGGGGTTAATGGTGACCGGGGCTGTGAACAGTGCAGTTCTGATTGATGCCTTTCTCAAGAGCTGCAGTTCTGCCAAGACACTAGTTGACAAGATAGATTCTTCCCCTACCCTTACGGGTCTCGTTTATTTGCTTGCATTTGAGCCCCTGGCATTATTTAACACCACTACCCCCCATTTTGCTTTCAAGAAGACAGTAATACTCAGTTTTGTCTTGAGAACATATTGTCATTATGTTGTATAAACCGCCCACGTGTCAAGAAAGCCGTGAGCATAAAACTACAAAAGAAAATACCTGTAAATGTTTTGCCTGCTGTTAGTGGCCCCAGCGAGTTGGTGTTTGCCACCTCGGTGCCTGCAGTTGGTAAATAGAAACGAAAACATTGTGTTCTGAGTGTTCAAGCCGCTGAGACAGACCTGAATGCCATTGCTGCCCGCCGGGGATCGGCCCCTTGTAATTTCAGGTGTTGTGTTTTTTTATCTTCCTTCCTCTTCCTCCTCTCCCTCCTCCCCTCCTCTGTCTCTTCCACTGTCCACTCCCCCAATGGCCTCAGGGTTTTCTTTCTAGAATCTCTGACCTGTTGCTGTGCAGATGGACTTGTCGCCACTGCTGTCAGAAGTGCTATGAGGCCAGCTGCTGCCAGTCCAGCGAGGATGAGGTTGAAATCCTGGGGCCTTTTCCTGCGCAGACACCGCCCTGGCTGTGAGTAACATTGCGCTGCTGAACCCTACCCCAACCCTCACCGTGACACTGCACCAAACCCCACCCCTCAACACTGTGTGGACCCCCTAACCTCAACACTGCTCCGAACCCCAAACCTCAACACTACACCAACCCCCAAACCTCAACACCGCATGGGCCTCCTAACCTCAACACTGCTCAGAACCCCAAACCTCAACACTACACCAAACCCCACCCCTCAACACTGCGTGGACCCCCTAACCTCAACACTGCCCCGAACCCCAAACCACAACACTACACCAAACACCAAACCTCAACACTGCATGGACCCCCTAATCTCAGCACTGCTCCGAACCCCAAACCTCAACACTGCACCAAACCCCAAACCTCAACACTGCATGGACCCCTAATCTCAGCACTGCCCCGAACCCCAAACCTCAACACTACACCAAACCCCAAACCTTAACACCACATGGGCCCCCTAACCTCAACACTGCTCAGAACCCCAAACCTCAACACTACACCAAACCCCACCCCTCAACACTGCATGGACCTCCTAACCTCAACACTGC